CGATGGACGGCAGGACGCCGCGCAAGCGCTCGCGGCCTCTGTGCTCGCCCCTGCTCCGCTTTCAGGTCCTTTTCCTCTTCCCTTAAGACTTGTTTTGCTCCTTCAATTTTTTTTTGTTGTGAACCCACCTTCCCTGCCCGCCCCCCTCAATGTGTGTGGCTTGCAACAAGCGTCTCGTATCCAAGGCAAAAGGTGTCGCACGAATCTGGCACGTGAATACCGCATGAACGGGGGAGGCCTGCGTGCCTCCCTCAGGTGAACGCACAACCCTCAGTGCAGAACAAAGAGAGAAGCAGCCGCGGCCAAGCTAGGCAGGAAAACTTGAGTGGATGGAAGATCGGGCTCTCGCCGTCACAGCAAGTCTAGCAAAAGTGAAAAAAAACCAGCAGCGTAACTCGGCTGGTCCAGTGTTTCTTACCAGGCTCGAGAACCTGAATGTCCACATCCTCTGTACAAAAATTAGCAGCTTTAGGACAACATTGTTACTCTGAACACGACAATCTCTGTTGCTTCTGCAGCTCTACCTGTCCCCTCGCGCTCGTCAGCGTCTGAGGCTGCGCTTCCTACTGCGTCGCCCGCTGGGGAGCACGGATCTCTGATTTATTGGGGCCTGTACAGGGACATCGGCAGCCTAATGGAGGATGGAAATTGTTAGGTACAGTAGTTAATCGACAATATATACAGCAAAGGAGGAAGGGGGAGGGAAGGTAGAGGAGGAAAGTGCGAGTGAGCGCTTTCCATGCGTACGAACGCATGATGTACATCAAACAAAGTGGCAATCATACAGACACTCCATACAACATCGACATCCTGCTGCTCTGTTTGAACGTCTGCACTACCAAGCAATCACAAATGGATGGCCTGAGTGAGAAAGGGGAAGAGTGAGGGAGAGGAGGGAGGTTAACTACAATGCAAGAAAGCTCTTTGTTTGCCAAATCCTTGCATTGAACAGATCCTCACGATATTCACACTGTGAGAACCAAAAGCCGATGGCCAAAGGGAATAGTTGGTTTGGGGGCTGGAGGAGAGGAGTCAAGTGACCGCGATTGAAGTGGCCATCTGCACAGTAAGGAGGCAAACTGGATGTTCGCTTTGCTTAGCCTAGAGTAGGAGCAATCCAATTTAAGTAAACTTTTTTTTTCCTCAATGGAAATCCTACGAGACCAGTTGGGGAAGGGGGGAAATCTGTGCGAGTTCATGGTATATTCTTGGGTTAGAACCAGAAAACATCTCTAAAAGCCCCAAGGTGGCCAACGGCAGACTGTAAGTCATTATTCACAGACTGTCAATTCATTCTTTTCCAACAGTCACGTAAGTGTTTTGTCCACTTGAAAGCCCAAACCCTGGCTCTAAAAACAGGTAAGGCAATGCCGGGACACTCATTTCCCAGGAGCGGGAATCCCCACTGCGCTGCCATTTGGAATAAAAGTACAGATCATAGCCCATGCTCCTTACTTTTTGTCCCTGCTGGTCTATGCTCTTCTCCTGGAGTAGTCCCTCAGAGATTCTGGACATCCTGGTAATTAAAGCCATTCTCGGCAAAACTAATTTTTGCATGATAGGTCAAATAATTTACATCATCTATGTTACTATTAAACACCCGCGAGAACTATCTAAAATAGATTAATGAACTCTTAGAATGCAGAAGGCTGATTCTCACTGAAAAATCAGCTTGTTTGGGCAGGATTTCTTCACTGCATTAGGTGAAAAGAAAAAGTACTAATTTAGAAAGTAACTTTTAAGTTTGTATAGGCTATAAAAACAAACATAAGCTGCCTAAAATGCAGTCAGAGGTTGAGTCACAACAGGTTTTTCTTTTGTTTCTTTTTTTTTTTTTTTTGGTGTATACAAACACAGCAGGCAACCTGGGCACTTAGACTTTCTAGACAGGCAGAAGAACGTTGCACAAGTCTAAATTTCAGTCAATTCAACTTTGCAATGGATCCCTCTTTCCTTTAAAGAAACACAAAACAAAACAGAA